TATTTAGGATTATCAATTAGTACCACATTTCATTATGTTGTTTATTAATCTAAGCTGATCTCTAAAAACTGGCTTAGAACTAAACAGAATATTGTTAATGTACACACTATAAAGAAACAGCTATTCCTATGTGTTTGTAGTTATTTGTTTCCCACTGTGCTCACTGAAGGACATTCGGATACAGTTTCACTGAAGTTTATTCTGTATTTATGCCATTTACTAAACATTCTCGTTCTTCCTGGCACAAATACAATTGCCAACCTTTAGCGTTCACCTTGTGGGTCATAGTATGTAAACATCTCTCATTACAAAGGTTTATTCATGCAACCAAAACTGAGGCAACTTTTACAAAGTAGTGACGCGTATTGTCAAAAGTACAACTCTGCTTGAGTTGCTCTGGCACAAAATGCGGTTTGTGCCAGGTGACTGTCTGGATTCAAAATGGCTGCCCGTGTTCGTGAGGAGCTGACGTCTTTGAGGAGGTGGTTGCTGCTGCCTCTGCCTCGTAGCTCGTGCTGTCGGTGACTAAGCCGACAGTTGCTGATGTCACAGCCGTGGGCTGGGCTCCCTTGAAAGCTGTGTATTCTCTGTCGGTGCTGGTGGTCCTGACTCCACTGAAAGCAGAGCCTCTTTGTGAGGGAGTCTGGCCTCACATTGGAGCCAGGTTATTTATTAGTCATCACTACTAAAGCTATTAATTTCCCTCTGTGTTCATGTCCTGGAAAAGAGAGAGTCAGAACTGACGTGTGCGACCAGCTGAAGTTGCAGTTGAAGGTGGCATACTATCTTATTCTGTTTTTTTTTACTAGGCCGCTGCATGATGAGTACAACAAATCATGATTCATCACTATTCATGTCATATCTTGCAATAATTTCTCGTATATGATTATTATATGTATTTGAGCGTGTTGAATGCGTTTGAGTGGCAGTGAAAGCAGCTGGGCTATTATACAGATGGGCCTCAGCATAATAGATTCTTACTTGAACTAGGCCTAAAGAAAATAAAACAATGCGTTTGAGATGGTTGTTTTCCTAAAGGGAGAGAAGCATTCAACTTTTTGCAGTCGCTCGCTGTTGAGCAGCCTCTCTGTTGCCAATATTCTGCCCTACTTTTGCAGTCGTGACCCAGCTTTTTTGGAGGTGTAACGGAGATGCTGCATATAACTATACTGACCATAATATTGAGTAGCAGGATAATAAAAATTCTTAAATAACACTGATGTTTATTCATTTGCATGTGCAGGCGGATACATTTTAAAGCCTGTAGATCCTCAGGTGACTTGAACTACATTCACCTTGTGTCTGAGCTGCTGTATAATTTTTAGAGAAGCTAAACTGTTATAGCAACTGTGAAAGATGGTGTTGCTCCATCAGGGACATGAGATAAAATGAATCAGGCCTAAAGACGTTGAGTTTATGCTTGAGTCTTATCAGTGCACTGACCTGAACTTACAGTATGGAGAAAAGAAAATAAGGGTTTGCAGTCAACAATATCTGTCACGTAGAGTGTCTATTTTTAGCTTCGAGAGGAAGTTTATTATCTTTGAATTGGTGCCTCTGAGGCCTTGTCAGAAATGGTGCTGTTTAGATGAACTTCTAAGATACAAATACCAATTCAACTGTTCTTTTTATAGGTGAGGAGAAGCTGGGTGAAAAAGGTGGCAGAGTAGGAAAACTTGCCACATAGGACCTTACAAATATTATACTCCAAAAAGGGGAGACCATCATTGACAGGTGGGCTGCTGATTTAAAAAGATTTATGATGATGATAATGAAGTGATATTGTGAGTCCAAACAGAGCACAACATTGATGTTTGTACAGCAGAGACAGACCATGCTTCTAGTGCCCTAATTCATGAGCTTGAATAATTCAGTCATACAATGTAATTAAATAAGTTTTCATCCTGTAGAGGATTTCAGACCTTGAGAGGGATAGATAATAGCTCAGAATGTGCTTGTGCCAATAAACAGTAGTCAGTGAAGGTGGTCCATTTTGATGTGAAATTATAACTTCAAAGCTCTATTTAGCTGTATGCCTGAGCTGAGTTGAAGAATTTACCCACTCCTCGTGTCTCTTTCATACAGCTCACTTATTTTTCAGTTCTCTGCTTGTAATGTTTTTCCTACAAATCTACTAACACTTCTAGATGCTAGATAATAAATATATAAAGGAATCATACTGAAATGATTTGATTAAATGCAAATGAGCTAGGGATGCATCGTAATTAAATTTATGACTGATATGGGTAAATAATCATTTTCATATGATGTCCAATAAGCAATAAATTCCTCATATAAATGTTATATTGTGTTCAAACAAATGAAAATATATTAAAAATACTATAAAATAAAAATCGATCAATTTAAATTCTACAAGTGATTTTAGGCATAACAACATTAGAATTTACCGTATGAAAAATTATATTCCTTTTGTGGTTTGATTATTAAATTGTGATATTAAATTATTTTAAAAGATGAACTTTCAGTGAGTGTTAGATGACCACAAAGGTAATCTAAATGTAAAAATAACGGCCGATAATCAATATGGTACCGATATATCATGCAGCCTTAAGGTGTTTGCACACAGAGTCCGAAATTCCTGTCTGAAATTTTTGCACATTAAAAAATAAATACGACCTCACGTTGTGTCAATCACGTTTACACACTGCCTCTGAAACGTTCGTCCGTCATAAAACAATTCGGATCAGGTTCGATTTTCTGTGTTTTCTCATCCGTAGCAAGCATTTTAATAGGAAAGGATGACAAATACAGAAAAAACGCTTACAAAATTCCGGACTCGGTGTGCAAGGACCTTTTAAAATGAGCAGTTGTGGCATCATTGCACAATAAGACAATTGTGATTTAATTTCCAATTCACATCAGTATGTTGGAATGCATTAGATCAGACGAGGAAAGCGATAAACATCTCTAAAGTGGTTGTGTTGGTGTGGAGTCATGCAGAGCTTTCAATCTCAGTGGGATCTGTGTTATTCGGGCCTCTTATATATCATGAATCAAACTCACAGATGGATGACAGCAGTGATCACTGTCCAGTGGTATTAATCTGATATCCGTTGAGCAAACCAGTTGTCGAGCATATCGGAGGCTTAGTAGAGCCTGTCTTTTTTGTTTTATAAGGAGTTTTGCAGAGAAGGCAGAAAAAACAGTTGACATTCATGTCCGAACTGGCTGTGGTTAGTGTTGTATAAAGGTTAAGTCATCAGATCAATAGAGGCTGTTCAGAATGATTAAAACCTGTTTAATGTCGTTCAATGAAAACATTTGCCAATGTAGATACACAGCCATGTTAACCAACCGGTGTTACCGGATTAGCATTTTATTTAACAAAGTATTTCATCCGAGGCTCATAGACGCAGTGCTCAAACATGACCCTGATCTCTTGATCCTCAGCGTGACCCTTTCCATAAGTATTTCATAACTCTCTGGGACAGCAGCCATATAACTTAGTGGTTGACCGCAGAGATTTGGTTTCTTTTGAAGACACTGTATGCTGCTGAGCAGCCAGACCTTTACATATGGCTTTAGCAGGAACGCCATGTCCTCTGTCTCTGGTTACTTGGTCAAAATTAAGCATGGTTTTCCCTGCATAATAGTGACCAGTTTCAAACGAATGTGCTGTGGTTCGTAAAAATCCTTTGTTTTTATTGGATATTGATTTCAGATCATATGTGACCCTGGACCACAAAACCAGTCTTAAGTCGCTGGGGTATATTTGTAGCGATAGCCAAAAATACATTGCATGGTCAAAATTCTGGATTTTTCTTTTATGCCAAAAATCATTAGGATATTAAGTAAAGATTATGTTCCATGAAGATATTTTGTAAATTTCCTACTCTATAAATATATTAAAACTAAATTTTTTATTAGTAATATGCATTGCTAAGAACTTCATTTGGACAACTTTAAATGCGATTTTCTCAATATTTAGATTTTTTTGCACCCTCAGATTCCAGATTTTCATATCTCGGCCAAATATTGTCCTATCCTAACAAACCATACATCAATGGAAAGCTTATTTATTCAGCTTTCATATGATGTATAAATCTTAATTTCGAAAAATGTACCCTTATGACCTGGGTCCTGGTCCTGGGTCACATATGTTCTTTTGAATTGTACTTTTTGCCACAGAATGAGTCTCTGTGTAACTACACAAGGCAATTTCCATGAATAGGTTGCAGTTTGGTGTCCCATTACTTTTTCTCAAAGCTGTAGAGGAACAGTTTTCATGTTTGTTTGTTTTTTTTTTTTTAAACGGTGAGAACTTTTTGACATGTTATCTGATTTTTAGCCAAAAGGTTATCTAAAATGAGATTAACCTTTTTGGTTTTAAATGCAGACTTTGATCAAAATTTGAACAGATATTTTGGCCTTTTACAATTAAAATTATACAATAGCGTAATTTTTGTCATAATTGTGAATTAACGTTAAATTAATTGTAGCAAAGCTTTTTTAATCGGTAAATATAGGCCTAATTATAATTAGTAAAAAAAAAAAACTATTTTGCTATATCTCATATTTTGTGTGCAACCTTGTTAATGTCACTTTTCGGAAATATTTTTTCAATTGTTTGTTCAGAAATGTTAAATTTTTTTTATGTTTAATTAAATTCATGTTCATTACTGGGAAAAAAGTAAACTGTATTTAGACACGTCCCACATTTTGGTAATAGGGTTGAAAAAGCTGCAGTCTTTATAAAACGAGTAAAAAATACATTCTCATGTAATATTTTGTCTGACTTTCTGAGGCTGACAATCTGTTTAAAAGGTTAAGCACACCCTCTCACTGATCATTTGCCGAAAAGATAAAACATTTTTTTTTCATACTTACATTTGTAATCTATTAAAGGGATAGTTCATCCAAAAATGAAATTCTGTCATTATTTACTCACCCTCATGTCGTTCCAAACCCTCTCAGATTCCATCAAAAATATCTTAATTTGTGTTCCAAAGATGAACGTCTTGCGGGTTTGGAGCAACATGAGGGTGAGTAATTGATGACAAAATTTTCATTTTTGGGTGAACTATCCCTTTAATGGAACGTGCCAGGAAATGAACATGCACCCAGACATTTGTTTCTGTGTTCTCAGTATCAACAAGACGCACATATTAGCGTTTGTTTAAGTTTAGTTTTGCTTTCTTTGAATAAGCATAATTAATGCACCCACTCGTACTGATTCACGAAACATGCATCAGCATATACTCAAGTATACAAATCTAGAATTAATAGGATGAATACAGAGAGTGTGGGTTTCACCCCGAAAGAACAGGCTCGGCCAAAAATAGGAATGCGGAATGTTCCTGATCTGGATTTCTGTGGAGAAAATCCCTCCCACCTGCGACTGGGCCGTTTCCATGACAACGCATGAGTCCAGCTTTTTCGAGGCTTGTCCCTTGGTACCCCAAATCACTGAAAGCCTGGACACCTACTCAAAGGACTTTGCTCTGAGCTCTGTGCCATTTTCCTACTGCAAAACTACTTTATCCTCACATATACCCACATTCATCCTCATTTAGACAAATTATTATTTTCTCTCTTAAACAGTGTTTAGTTCTTGTTACTACAACCTTGAAATGGAATCTGTGGCGCTAATGTTTAATAAAGAATGTTACTGAGCATCAGGTATCACTGCTGCTGTGGATCCAGAGACCTTTGGCACCTCATCCTAATATTCAAAAGGAGTCAGCAGTGCCCACATTTTAAGTCTAAAAATTGGTGAAGGGGGTGTGATCTATACCAATTACACTCAACATTTTTGTAAAAAAATAGCACTCCGTGTACATCTGTGCAGTGCTGCAGGCTTCTAGAGCCCCATTTGATGAGATTTAAATTAATTCTGCCTCAATCCCAAATTCAGCCCCCCCCCCACTGTGCTCCACAGTATTAACAGAGCTCAGTCTCCGCCCCTTCACAGCGGCTCCTCAGCAACATCCTCTCCTGGAAACACGCATGTTAATGCATGTGAACTCATACAGGAGAACCAATATGTGTTTTTCTGTTTTGCAACAGGCCGTACTATGTTACAGAAACTGCTTCATGCTGAACACCCTCCAGCTTGTGTTAACATTTAGTAGTCTATTGCTCTAATATTGATGTTACTTTAAGTAGTCAGTAGACAGTGTCAAATCCTTTCATTTAAATTCTAAGATTATGATTATTTTTCTTTTTGATTGCTTTTAGTTATTTGCCTTTAACGGTCTTAAGTTCACAGCATTCTGTTTTTTTCTTGTGTCAATAACAGCTATTGAGACTTGAGGCTAAGTAATGTTTCTTTTTGAATGGCTTTAGATTGAATGTGATCATAACTTATGTAGTCTCATGCTTTCTCATTCTTTATTGCCTGCAAGCCCTTGGCAAACATTTAAAATTCTGAGTTTGCATGGTAAGTGTTTTCCCTTTCCTTTTCTTTGATTTTCATGAGGTAATAAATATACTGGCTGATTTAGGTGAATCTCAGGCTCTCTCTTTCTCTCTCTCTACACACACACACACACACACACACACACACATTAAATGGTAATAAATGTCAAAATGCTGATTTTTTTTAAATTTTCCTGTTAACTTTGTCCTTTTTGCCCTTAGCACAGTTTTCTCAAGGAAGAAGAAGAAAAAAATAATTTCTAAGGTTACATTATACTGGTGCTCTCACAGTGAGTTGAGGCTGTGATATGAGATGCTCAGGGTCCCATCCATATTTAATCAGTCTCCAATGTACTGAGATCTGCTGAGGGCAACACAGGCCTGAGGAAGGCCTATTATTGGATAGGACAAGTTCAGCCTAGCACAGGATGTGTTTGCCCCTCCCATCCGGATTGACCACCATATTGCTGATGCCTCTAATTTAATACACAGCACTGGGGTGTGTATCTAAATGCTTTTAAGCAGGAGCTGTAACACCTCAGCTTAATTTTTAATGAGGTTCTGTAGTCCTTTGTGATGATTTTCACACTAAATCAAGCTGTGTTGCACCTGAAGTGACAATTAACTGTGATTAAAAAGCTGATACCTTTTGTGTCACATTGAGGCATAGAGACTTGTAAGCCTTTAATCTTTATCTGTTGTTTTAGATCGTGAAGAACCTTGAAAAACTCTCTGCATTTTCATATTAATTATCTAAAGGCAGTCACACACCAGATGCAGCAGAGTCAGACAACTTGCAGCATCTTAAAATCTAAACCAGTGTTTTCTCTGAATCTTTGCACACCGCACACTGCTCAAAATTCTTCTGTGCAATTCACAAGTTTTCCAAGTTTGACCTTATACACATTTTTAAAAAGGGACATGAGAGGAACATGTATTATTGTAGGCTAGAAGATACCTTGTTTATAGACAAATTTTTAGTAACAGGTTTGTGTGTTTGTGGCTTGACAACTTGAATTTGGCCTACTTTGTTTCTTGTAATCTTTTTTTTTTGTCATACACCAACCTATAAAATTTCATGTTAATTCATGAAAAAGTGGAGAAACCTTTTATGTGTTTTTTGTATTTCACTGTTTCCATTTTGCATCTTATCAGTTGACTTGGAACTGAACATATACATGTTCTGTGTGCTATGAAAATCTAGTTTTGCTATATGAATACTTAATTTGTATTTTTTTTAAATAGACTGTGTGATCTGGGATGAAGTCTCATGAAGTCTTCCATTGGAGCTGACAGTCACAGTCAGCGGAATCATCCTTTACTGATCCTCCACCAGAAAAAGACCTGCCCATTGCCCATCAACAGAGTCCCCCTGCACTGTACCGTCTTACTCCCTGACCATGGCTAGTCGAAGAAAGTCTACAACACCCTGCATGATCCGACTGGATGACTTGGTAACTGCAGACGATCCAGAAGAAATAGATTCCTGTGTGGACAGTCCAGAAGAGAATGGATGCTCACATGTGTCTTCTAGTGAGGACTGGATGGATAGGAAGAGTTCTGTGAAATCTGCGCAGGAAGCAACGGAGCTGGAAAAACCTGAAGTGAAAACACGACCACAGAGGAAACTCCAGGGAGGCTATGAGTGCAAATACTGTCCCTTTTCCACACAAAATCTCAACGAGTTCAAAGATCATGTCGATTCCAACCACCCCAATGTTATACTCAATCCACTGTACTTGTGTGCGGTATGCAACTTCACCACAAAAAAGTTTGATTCTTTGACGGAACACAATGAGAAATGCCATCCTGGTGAGAGCAACTTCAAGTTCAAGAGAATCAAACTCAACAGCCAGACTATTCTAGAACAGACAATCGAAGGTTCGAACTGTGCCGTCATCTATGATACCACCAGCCCTCAGTCAGGAGATGACTTTACAGCTTTTCCTCTGAGCAAATCCAGTACTGTTAAGGTGGGTAAGCCCAAAGCAGATAGTTTACGGTTGCAGGACGATAGTCCGCTGGACAAACTCGCTCAAGATCTACCAAAAAAGCAAATTACTGCGGTGAATGTGAACGGGACTGTGATAATCCCAGATGCAACTCTTAAGGATGGCTTCTCTCATATAATGCCATCCTTGCAACGCCCGCCTAACTACAACTTGGTACCAAAAATCGCCGTCCCCTTGAACACTTCAAAATACAACCCCTCGCTAGATGGCAACTTGACCCTCATAACCTCCTTCAACAAGTTTCCGTACCCTACCCAAGCAGAGCTCTCTTGGCTCACTGCAGCCTCCAAACCCCCCGAAGAACAAATCAAAGTGTGGTTCACTACCCAACGGCTAAAACAAGGTATCAGCTGGTCTCCCGAGGAGGTTGAGGAAGCACGAAAGAAGATGTTCAATGGAACGATTCAGCCTGTTCAACAGGCGTTCACTGTCTTACCTGCTCAGTTAACTCAGTCCACTAAAGCTTCACAGCCCCTTATCCAGACCGTCCCTTGCCATGTCCTTGGACAATCTGGCCTGGTGTTAGCACCGGTTTCCAATGGCTCAACTGCTACTGGTGCTGCTCTCGCACTAACAGTGACAAATCAAATAGCACACGGTGTCAAGAGGGCCCACAGAGCACCACTGGTTGCCCCAGAGATAAAGAGGCCTTCAATAATTCAGTCCGTTCAGAGCACTCCCAAGTCTGTCTCTCCGACACCAAGCCTTTCTTCAGATTGTGAGAAAACCCCTGATCAGATCAGAGAGCTGACCACCAGCTATGCTCAGTGCCAGTTTCCTGATGATGAAGAAGTGTATCGTCTCATCGAGACGACTGGCCTCTCCTGGGGAGAGATCAAAAAATGGTTCAGCGATCAGCGCCATGGAAACCATAAGGCAGTGCAACAGATTAAAACCGACCTCTCTTCGAAGGACAGCCAACCGCATAAGCCTGTCGCCACACAGTTTCCCCTACTAGAGAGAGTTAAAGGCAAATCCTCTGAACAAATGAAAAAGTTAGAGGAGAGTTTCCAAAGGACTAGCTTTCCAACCCAGGCTGAGATAGAGCACCTTGTGGCGGACACCATGCTCTCCAAAACAGAAATTGATTGCTGGTTTACGGAGCGCCGTGCATTACGAGACAACCTGGAGCAAGCCTTGCTCAACTCGATGGGCTCAAAAAGGCTGGAGCATCACCTTCAAAGGGGGACACTGAATGGAGTCCATGAGCAGGACAGCAGAGTCAGGGACTCGCCTCTTCCCATTCTCACGTCTTCAGTGTGTCCAGAGGCCATTGATGGCAAGTCTCTCTGCCTTCTTAAAGACATGTTTGCACAAACCCAGTGGCCCTCACCAGAGGAGTACAACCAACTAGAAATCCAAACAGGGTTAGCTCGTACAGAAATTGTCCGGTGGTTTAAGGACAACAGATCTGCTCTGAAAAATGGGACGTTAGGTTGGATGGAGCAATTTCAAAGTCTTAGCAACAAGAGACCGAATGGACAAAACAGCTCGTTGATCTCAGAGCAGGCCCAGAGTGTCCTACAAAGGCACTTTCAAGAGACAAAGGTACAAAAAGGGGAGGGTTTTGAGAAGCTTGCAGAGCAGTCGAAACTAACCCACCAGGACATAGTCGAATGGTTCACCAGTAAGCTGGGCCACAACATGCCTGATATCAGCAAGAGCAAGGACCAACATGGACAGGCGAGTGTAGATGGTAAGAGGTGGGTTTCCTTGGCAGCTGACATCGAAGGCAAAGATTATGATGCACAGAAAGTGGAACGAGACCTTGAAGTTCTGTCGGCAGAGCACAGAGTGACTGGATGAAGTGATAAAGGTAATAGTCCTTTTTTATTTTAACTAGCTGGTTGATATTTTGAATGGAGAAGGAGTGAGAGTTTCTTTCCCTGAGAAATAGCTGCTTCTCATGATAATGTAGCAGATGTGGTTGAAAGACCCAGAATGTCGGCAGTCTGTAATTTAGCCTTTAGAAAAACAGCTTGGCAGTGAGAGAGAGGGCAGAGCCCAAATTTTATGTGTGCTGGGAGGGGGGGCAGTGTGTCAATTTTGGATTTTCTTTCAAAGCTTCATCCATAATTTATGTGAGTCAAGTGGCATTTGTTGCTTGTTCTGTTGCAGAAGAAAACAGGCTGCTATGACTGAACTAGATGGGCCTGATGATTAAGGAATGACCTCTGTTGTCGTGAATGGAACCAATGATCTCATATCTGGACTCGGAGGTTATCAGAGACGAGATGGATTTGGGAGCATCTGTGAAACACTGTCTGGAGAGTGACCATGGAGTGCCAAAGTTTGACTGCTATGTTGTTATTATTGTTTGTTTTTTAAAAGGGCCCTTGTAAATATTTTTTCTGTACTTCAACAGATTTGTAAAATTTTTCAAAGAAGAGACTTTTGTTACGTTTATAATAGGAGTCCCAAGACATTTCCCTTGACCCTTATAATGGAATGTTCAATCATTTTTGTGAGTGGACACAAAACTAACCCACCTGCTGGTGAAGCTGGTTTAAAACACAATGTGGTCCATGATGGCACTTAATATTTCAAGTGGACACATACAAGCGGTGCTTCAATAAAAAACATCTCATTCCAGAAAACGAGGTGATATTATGGACTTTTCTTTGGACCATAAACACATTGCCTGCACTCTTATACTGTACCTTATTGCCAAGGGTACAGAGCCAAGCCACATGATGGACATAATCAAAACTGAAATCAATACAATACAGAGATGCGCAGCACATGTTTATTTGTAGTTATAGGCTAATTTCTGGCAATATTACAGTAACTGCAAATTTATCCGTATCATGTTGGCTTTTTCTGGTATCCAACACGTAGATCCATTTTTTCACTACTCAGCTGTGAACTGCTTTCAGCTCGCTTAAGTGTATTTCTTTTTCCTGCAGCTGCTTTAGTGTCATGTTCAGACATGTATCAGGAATACTGTACTGCTACCAAGAATCCTGCTTGCTCTTTATAAGAACCAGTCTGCTGTAATTCAATAAAACACAACTGATTGAAAGCCTGCTTCGAGTCTCATTGGTTACACATCAGCAGCATTGCCAAAGTAAAAAAAAAACAAAAAAACCTCAGTTTGATTAGGAGCTGCTAATTTTCTTACAGTAAGTTTCTTTTCAGGGTGCTGCAAAATTTAAATGCAACTTTAAGGCGCCTGTATCCTTAGTGTGTCCCTCAAGACACTAAACTCAAATGTACTCAAATTAGTGAGCACAGTTGCTGTTTACAGTTTATTTGTAGCATCGGTAATTGAACAAGCACTCAATGAAATGCAAACTGAACATTTTAGTAAAGAGTGTGGTTTGGAACAGTAGTAACTTAAAGATTTTGGCAAGAGGTCACTTTGTATAACTTTGATATGACTGTATCACCATTATACACCATATGCACATAAAGGTATTTGGATTTTGTAAAGCACCTTTATCCAAACAATGTGTTGAGGGACATAATATCAAAACAATGTAATTTAGTGCATACTAAAATCAAATATGAAAGCAATAAATATAACTTTCAGTGTACAAATAATTATAAAACTTCGGTTTCTGTTTGCTGTCAGATGGCATGTGTACGTATAAGACTAATCTTAACTTAGTTTAATCATAAGTAATGTGTGAAAAGTGCATGGCAGTTTTACTGGAAATGGTTTGATAAACTTTACTCAAGGCTGGCATCTAAACATATAAAACAGATGGAAATATGCATACATGTATAAAACAGACTGAAATATGCATAGCACTTTCATCTGAATGTTCTGATTGGTAATTCAGTTCATTCGCAAATGTAAAGCATAAGTAATGCTTAAGAAAATTTACAATAAATTTAACCTAATTAATTTAGACAAATGAGGTGATTTAAAAAAAACAGATTTGAAGTCCATTCCTAAACAACCATGCTAACAAACAATCTATACTGAATAGTTCATAGAGAAATTAATCAGCTACATTTGACTGAGCAAGTAACATGAATACGCTGAAGGATGCAGTCATATTATGGGAAACACAATTAAAGTCCCCTGAATTTCCTACAATTATACCAACTCTGCTACTGCACATATTTTTGCAGAGTTTCTGTACACACTGAAAGTCAATAACAGTGTGATATGACATTGAGAGTAAGAGGAAAATATGTAACGCTGGGAAAGAGCTCTGTCACTTTTCCTTTTGGGTCAGAAGAAATGCAACAAACACATATAAACCCAAAACATACAAAATTCATATTCTGCAGCATTGATGTTAGAAGTTTATGTATTTATCCATTGATGGAAGAGTCAAGACTTCAGTCGTCCCCCAGCCGAAAGCCTTGACCCCAGTTATGGCGCCCACCTCCTCCACCTCCTGCCTGCTCTTGGGGCAGAGGTCTCCTGCTTGGAGGAACGCCGAATCCAGAAACCCCACCTCGTCGATTTGGGAACATCTGGTACCTGAGAAAAAAAAATGTACGACAATAAAGCATAACAGTATCATTGCTGCACTAAACCCTTAATAACCCCTAACTTGCCACTTTCATTTAGCTAAAGATTCATAAATTAGTAATTTGATAAAAAGGCACTTCATTCATATCAGCATTGCTTGACTCATAATAACAGGAAGCTGAGGCCAGCTGTGCAGCCAATAAACTCACAGGAACTGTGGGGTGGAGAGGAAGGACCGGCCACCCAGGTCCATGGGGTATTTGAACATCAGAAAGAAGTAAAGGTGACCAACTAAGTTCCCAATCAGCTCGTTGACAATGCTGAAGAAAGAAATGGTTATTGTTACAATAATTATTATGTGACTATGATGACTCAATGTTATACAACATCTACATCAAATGACTATGACATTTGAATATTAATCTGTGTGGGGGGAAAATTCTTACGAGCCTCCGATGATATAGTTGAATCCCAGAATGACCCAAGGGAGATAACAAGCCTGTGTTAGTGTGAACATGAACAGGTTTTAGTGTGGAGCATTAAAATACATCAGTATATCATGTAAAATCATACTGTAGTAATAATGCATTGAATACCTTGAATCTGGTGCCAAACCAGAAAGATACAATCGTGTCACGATTTAGTTGAGCCCAGACGTACAGAACAGACATGATCAAAGGGATCATCAGGAGCTGCAAAACACAAACAAGCCCATATTTATGAACAAATTAATAAGGAAATGAAAATTAAAATGTAACATTACAATTTACAACATTGCAATGCAAAAACAACTAATAGGTTACATTAAAAAGCTTAATTAACTCCATGGGAATTCCAGCAGTGCAGAAGAATGCTCATAAATCACACAAGGCTGTCATTCAAATAAGCAGCACAAGGTTTCAGATGATTTTAGAAAGACAAAAACTGCTTTGAGACCATTTTTAAATGTCTTCATTTAATGATGATTTACACCAAATAAGAGGGGCAACATTTGCTTCTGGTGCAATTTCAAGTTTGAAAGATGATGTAGGGAGGCAGGGGGCATTTTCACATCTTCTTTTATAACTCATTGACTACACTAAATCTACTGTTTTCAGCACTGATAATAAGAAATGTTTCTTGAGCACCAAATCAGCATATTCAAATGATTTCTGAAGGATCGTGTGACACTCAAAACTGGAGTAATGGCTGTTGAAATTTCAACTTTGACATCACAGGACTAAATTGCATTTTAAAATACACTGAAGTTGTGTTGAATTGTAATAATCTCTCTAAATATTAAAATTTTTACTCTGTTTTTGATCAAATAAATGCAGCCTTTCTGAGCATAAGCGACTTTTAGAAAATATATTATCACACTTCATATTTAGTGCTGTCAAACGATTAATCGCATCCAAAATAAAAGTTTTTGTTTACATAATATATGTGTGTGCTGTGTATATTTATTATGTAGATATAAATACAACACATGCATGTATATATTTAAGAAAAATGTTATATTTATATATCAAATATATTTTTATATAATATAAATAATATGAATATAAATATATACACGTAAATATTTTCATAATATATACTGTATGTGTGTGTCTTTATATATACACAGTTTAACAACGTCGTTTGCACTGCGCTCTGTCTTTATATATACAAAATAAATATACACAGTACACACACATATGTAAACAAAAACTTTTATTTTGGATGCGATTAATCGCGATTAATCGTTTGACGGCACTAACAAAAAAGTCCCCCCCACACCGAATTAATTTCATTTATAATTACAGCAATAAAATTATAACTAAAATACATGCTTACTGAATCATTAACTTGAATCTGAAAATTTGCATGAACCATAATCTGATAAGCTTGAATTAACC